GTGTGTGTGTGTGTGTGTGTGTGTGTGTGAGGCCTAATAAAAAGGTCAAGGAGAGCGCAGCGCCTCATTACGTGGTGCAGAGTGAGGCTCGACACTAGTGTTGCCTCGTTTAAACACAACAACCACTGCTGGGTTTTTATCCTCCACAAACACACAGCAGAACTTTATAAAGTTATTGCAGTTACGTCTGGATAAAGGGCAGATCTCTCCACTCCTGAAGAAATTAGATTTTTTTTTCTCTCTTAGATAYATGAAATATTGATTTTTCTCAGGGATAATAGCAGCTGTGGGCACACCTTACCAAAATATTAGCTTCACTAACACCTAAAACGCTACACATTTTTATTAGTTCCTCTAATAATAAAAAGCTAAATTGACAAAAAAAATATTGGTAGAAGCTAAAACAATATTTAATATACCAACGTACAATCTGCGTTACAGAAAGTTTTACAGTCAGTGATTAAACTCAACACCAGGGTGGTTTTTTTTACGGGGCACATAAAAATAAAGAAAAGGATCCTGGATTAGAAAATTCAAGATGGCCGCCACAGATTGCTTTAGTTCATTTAATTTTAGTGAGCTGAATTTTTGTTATCATAGCAAAGAATGATCAAAAACACTGCTGATTGCTAGTCACAACTTATTAGTCAGCCTTTTATAGACAAGCTGAAGGTTAGTGTAGAAGTAGCCAAAAATAAATCTTTACCAAATTCTAAATGGTGAAGAAAAATCCAAGATGGCCACCACAGCTAACTTTAAAAGGCTACAATTCAGCCATTTTAGGACTTATTGAGATGAAATTTCTTGTGGAGTAGCTAAGAATGATCACATACTGATTGCCAATGCTAAAGCCAAATTGAGCTAACCATTAGGGCTAATGCTAATTTTCAAAAGGGCTATAATGTAGCTGAAAATTTATACAGTACAATATTATTAGAGAACAAACATTAATAAAACTTAAATGCAAATACAAGATCTAAGATCCCCGCCCACTTATCAGTTATTTGGGGGCACCACCTGGGATAGCCAACCAGGTGCCAGTGGTGGCTCTTGCCACTCTGGCTAAACAGCTCATCAAAATATTTGTTTTGCTAATAGCGGATTAGCAGTCGAGCGGAAATGTGCCCACCAATGGATAATAGTGAAAAGTCCTGAATGAACTTTGCGACAGCTTGATTAGTTCTGATTTCTTCTTGTGTGTAAAACTAATTCTCCTCTCACCCTCTTCTGCTCCTCCTCTGCATCAGCAAACAGCTTCCTGATGTTGGCCTCGGACTCGCCGACGTACTTGTTGAGAATCTCGGGGCCGTTGACAATCTTGGGCTCCCGGGCCTTCAGCATTTTGCCGATCTGTCGTGCCATGAGGGTTTTACCGCAGCCTGGGGGTCCGTAGAGCAGGATTCCTTTCACGTGCTTACAGCCTGGAGATGGAGACACGAGCAGGACAGGGGGGTGATGCTTAGACCAGGGGTCTGCTGCCTTTACAATCAAAAGAGCCATTTTTGCTACTGACACAGTAATAAAATGGGCTCAGAGCCGCAAAATAAGCTACAACTGTGATTATCAACTGGTGGTCCATGGGCCTTTTCGGGAACTTTTATGGCCAGTGGAGGTGACATAAAACTAAAAATTATATTGTGAATTTTATTATTATTATTTTTCTTACCCATCAGGACAATTAAAAAGACTATATTCATGTAAACAAGAAAAATACTTTATATAGTTTGTACCTAATTTCGTAAAAAATAGTACAACTCAATTATTCAGGCTTATTTTTTTCTAATTCTTATTATGTAGTTTTTAATATTCTTTAAAGGTAATTCTGATGGATTTGAGAGAAAGACAAACGTTGGATTATTTAAGTAAACAACAGGCTAGCATAAGCTAACATGTTTTACTTTTTGCGTTAGTAGTATTGATAACGTATTTGCTTACGAATTGATTTCTGTTGTGGGTATAAAAACAAACAAAAAAATATTCTGTTATGTTTGGTCACATTTTCAAAAAGCCACTGCAGAGGGACCAAAGAGCCAGAAAGTGATGCTCTATCAGAAAACATGGCTCTGTTTTCTGAATGACCATTATTATAATAAACTATAACGTGCAAAATAGCTTTTTTTTTCTTTTATCAACTTGCCTCAAATGTGACAGACAGACTCAACAATTCAGATAGCATAACTTTTTTTATTTTAGTTTATATTTATTTAAGTCAGAGAGTGCATGCAGGCTGTGAGAATTCCACTTAACCCTGGGTAAAGCGCGGATCATTTTCTGGCCTTTTGCACCTGACATTTAGCCCAGACTAATTGCGAGGCCCCAGATAAGCATCTGAGATGCCATTAGGCCTGCTGAGGGAAGAGCAGCCGGGCCGACAGGTGGGAGACTCGGGAAGAAGAAGGCCTGGCTTCTTCAGCGCGGCGGGGGAGAAGTGATGTGCTTGTGTTGCTGCTTTGGGACACGAAGCACTGAAGCTTCTGTCTTCTTTCACCTCTCGGGGAGCAAAGGGGAGACAAGGTGAAACTTTTCCTCCAACACACACACCGCCTCTCTGTCACCACCTGCAGCCCTGTGCCTACCAATTAAAACTTTACCCTTAGCTGGGTGCTCTATCAGGGCACGCCATCTCATTACGGCGACCAGCTGGCTGCAGCCAAAGGCCAGCTCCTGCACACAGCCACCCAGCTAAAGGTCAGCTCACACGCTTGCAGGACATCACCGCCGGCCCAAGGAGTCTGCTCGAGCTTTAAGTACAGGGCGTATTTGCCAAGCTCCTAACAACAGATTTTCACAAGACTTCTGGGACTCGCAGCAAAGATTAGGACAGACGGGACCGTGTGCAGATGTGGGAAGGAAGGGTTTTGTAGATGAGTCACAAAGAGGCCTCCGCGGTGGTTTTCATCAGAACGAGCTGCTGTGCTTTGGAAACTGAATCATCACGTAATCTGACAGCCGTCACAGGTTTATTAATGAGTGTGTGCAGAGGTCTCTGTCAGGGGTTTTAATCACGGGTCCACATAAAGGAGCRTGGTTCGGCTGTTTGATCGGTGCCAGTTTTGCTGATTCAGTGGGTACGACAAACCTCCGAGGAGTTATTTTGTTTGCCCTCATGTTGACTCAATGATTAAACATTAAGTTAATATAATAACTGTAAGCACAGGAGTTCTATTTAGAAGGTGAAACTAATCTCTTCAGCCTGAGAATACTGGGAGACGAGTAGCAGCTCTGCACAAACAACTCTTTTCTGTTCATTTTGTGAAGGAAGAACTTTGGGCTCAGGTAGGGAAATTTAACCTAATTGTTGAGTTTTTTAAAGACAGCATCTGACTCAGCAATTAATATGAGTGTCAGACTTGACAGGGATTTTAAACTCAGATTAAATCAGTGATTAAGTCCAGTTTTTATCACCTAAGACTGCAGGTCTGCAACCTGTGGCTCTTTGAAAATATGACCAAACAAAACAATAATTTTTTAAGTTGTACGCAAAATTATGTGATCAATACTAATAATACAAAAAGTAAAACCTGTTAGCTCATGCTAGCCTGTTTTCTTAAATAAGCTAACTTCTTTCCATGATCTTTCTCTTAAATCCATCAGAATTACCTTTAAAGAATTTGAAGACTACATAATAAGATTTAGGACGGCTGTGGTGGAGTGGTTAGGGGAGTCGTCCTGGAACCGGAAGGTCGCTGGTTCGATCCCCCGTCCAGCCGTCTGTCGTTGTGTCCTTGGGCAAGACACTTCACCCACCTTGCCTACTGATCGTGGTCAGAGGGTCCGGTGGCGCC